GATCTCTGAGCCCGCTGGTGATTTAATATGCAGTACTGAAATGATAGAAGCTGAAGGGAATCCCCAAACCAAGGGGATCTTTCCTAGAATTGTTGAATTTGAGGTAGCTCAGGAAGCTAGGGGCTCCGCTAGAATACAGGTTGAAATCTCATAGTCTCACAGTAGTAATGTGACAGACCCTCTCTCACTCTACCACAAAAAACCTTGACTCTCCCCCAAGGTATTTGCCAGATTTTTAACCTCCTTGGGATTGGGGAATTAAAAGGTAAACTCAAAAGCTTCATGTGGAGTATGTTCCAAGGCTCAAGAGTAAAAAACACCTGCCAGTCTTTCTGTCATTGAGCTTGGACATTTATGCTCAAGGAATAGGGTACTGAATCTTAAAACAGTAACCCAGTCCTAATCTAACTCAACTGGATCTTCTCGCAGTTTGTCTAGAGAAAATATGAAATATCTGGGATAGAAACTATTACTTGGAATTGCTGTACTTCTTTTATCTACATTGGAAATAAAAAATTACCAGATGTTCAAACAACCTGGAAAATGTGACTAAAAATCTAGAGAATAAGCATATAATAGAAGCAGACTCTGGGTGACCCAGATATTGAGCAGAAAAGAACTTAAAATTACTATGTTACAGAAAATAAGGAAAAGATGTACAAGATAAATTTTCAACTGAAGGTTTCAACAGAGAATTGAGTCAGTAAATAGAATCAAATCAACTATCTAGAAATAGAAACTTTATAAAATTCAGAACCTAGTTTCAGAATAAAGTTATTCTACAGCTCTACTGCCGATCTTGTCAGAATTAATTTTTTGTTTGTTTTTTTGTACCAGGGATCGAACTCAGGACCTTGCACTTGCAAAGCAGGCGCAGTGACACTGAGCTAAATCCCCAGCCTTCAGAATAAGTTTAAACACAGGTTAGCTATTGTAGCAGATTAGTAAATATGAAGACAGATCTTTGGAACATTTATAAACTGAAGCACACAGAGAAAAAGAATGGGTAGAATAGAGTGAAGCATAGGAGACAAGCAGGACACAGTGGAAAGGTCTGATAAACTTCTGACTGTAGTCCTAGGCATAGAGAGGATTGGAGAAGAGCAGTATTTGAAGATATAATTAATGACCAAGAATTCCATGAACAAATGGACATTGTTAACCAACAGACTCAAAAAGTGAGCCCTTTAAGCAGGAGAAATATAAAAAGGAAAACCCAACAGAGACATATCTTAAGCTGTAGAAATAAAGACTGAGAAAACATCTTAAAAGCCATATAAAACAACTGATAGCTAATATAAGGGGTATGAAGTTGTACTCCCTCTGAATTTTGGAGTAAGCAAAAGATTCCACTGTCATCATCTATATTCAGAGATACTCTGAAGGATCTGACTACCACAATAAAAAAAAAGTAAAAAGCTTAAAGGTTTGAAAGAAGGCCTAAAACTTATTTGTAGATGATACCTATATATGTCAGAATCTACAGACTTTCAGCATTAATAAATGCAGATTTAGGTAAGTGGTCATATATAAGATAATATATCAAAACTAGGTCTACAAATTAGCAACATAAAAATCAGGAAAGGATAATTGTACAATCCCATTTGTGATAGCATCAGGGTATCATTCTCTGGAATAACTCAAAAGATATTCAAGTCACTATACTAAAAGTGTTGCTGAGAGAGAAATTAAAGACTTAAACAAGTTCAGAGATATACTACATACAGGTATTCAATATTATTAAGATGTCTAGTTCAGTGCCAGTCACAATCCAAGCAAGGCATTTTTTTGGTGTAGAGAAGTTTATATGGAAATGCTGAAGACCTAGAATAGCCTGAGATAATCTTGAAAAAGAACTAAGTTGGAAGACTTACTCTAGACAAGAGTTTATAATCAAACAACAAAAATGAACACAAGACAATATTGCCGTGACAGTAGACAAACCAATGGGACATATAGAGCTACACTGTCTAGTGTGGATACTTCTAGCGACATGTGGCTAGTGAGCACCTGACATGTGGCTAGCCCAAATTCAGATGTGCTGTTAAGTGTAAAGAACACACTGTATTTTAAAGACATAGTATGAGAAAAATAATGTAAAACTGTTTTAATGTTTATATCAATTATATGTTGAAATGGCAATATTTTAGATATATTGGTTTAGATAAGTATATTATTAGGACCAGTTACTCTTGTTTCTTTTTACTTTGTTAATGTAACTGCTAGAAAACTTAACATTACATCTGTGAATTAATGACTTTGGTGGCAACAGAGATTTCTTAAGCAGGGTACAAAGACACTACTCAGAAGAGACAAAGTGGGCTGTGTAAAACTTCTGTTTGTCACATTAAGAGATTGAAAAGGTAGGCCGTAAACTGGTAGAAAATGTTGGTGATCTGTATATCTGATTTATCTAATATATAAAGAGCTCCAAATAAAAAAGCATTATCTTTAAAATAATCAAGTGAATTGAATAGGAAATTCACCAAAAAAGGATATCCACTGGCTAGTAATCTTATAAAAAGGTGTTCCTTTTCAGTTGTATGGGAAATGTAAATTAAAGACACAATGCTGCATACCTACTAGAAAGGTTAATGGGTTAAAGACATCACATCACCTGGAACTTTCATACATTGTTGCTGAGTGTAATAATTATTACAGTGAAAATAATACACATTATTTAAAAAATTAACAGCCCACTATGTGGTTTCATTTACATGAAATCTAGTAATAAGCAAAAGCATGGTGGTAGAAGTCTCAATAGTGATTACCACCAGTGGGCATAAAAGGGTCTTCTGGAATTTTGGAAAGATTTCATAGTTTGATCTCAGGAATAGTTGTATAAGTGTGTATATATGTAAAAATTTATCACATTATACACTTGAGATTTATGCACTCTGTACGTATGCCGTACCTCATTAAGCATTGTTAACACATCATAGTTTCTTGATGATGAAGACTGTGTGTGTGTGTCTGTAATTTGTTTATACAAGACTGGTGCATAAATATTAGAAGCACCCATTGAATAATGAGGGATGGAAATGTGGGAAGGAATTGAGTTCATTAATCTTGCTTCTGTTCCCTTGGTACCTGTTCTTTTGCTCACTGTCTATTTGGAATAGTCAACTGAAAGCACACATAGCTTTGGCTCTTTGCAGTTCTAGTCTAGATATGTGATGTTTCTGAGTGTAAAGAGAAAGAAGAGACATAGATCAAGAATAATAATCATCTCCAGTCTATGACTTCAGAGAGTTTGATTCTTATTTCTTCAAGATATTTCCTTCTATATCTTCCTCTTCCTTGCTACATAGCATTCCACAAATATCTACTGAATACTTGACATTTTCAAGGCAAGTAGCTATATCAATGATTCAAACTAAAAAGGATCCCTGTCCTCCCTCAGAATATTTACATGTAAAAGTTCAAGCAATAAACAAAATCAGCTTCCTTCTTTCTTTGCCTTTGCTTAAGGATCAAGCAAAACAAATACTTAAACAAAAAAACAGAAGCTTTCTGTTTTAAATACAGTTTAGTGGCCTTCTTGTTGATCAGTGAGAAAGGTCTTTTGTCAGTTTGGATTAACTTCGGCATAATACCTATCACAATGCCATGTGTCTGGGGAGTGTAGTAAATACTTGTAACCTTTGAGAGCATTGTCTGTGTCTGATTACTGAGTCCCATAATTCTTTGCTGCCATATGCCTGCCTTGTCTTTTTAACTATCACTTTTCTGAGAAAAGTTAATTTCTCAGGATACATTAATACTTTCTGGAATGCTGTAGTTTTGGGACAATTGCGCCTTAGAATGAGTCAAGCAAAGGTGAGAGTGCCACACGTTGTACTCTGGAATGTGCCATTCAGAAGTCTAGCATAGTGAGTTTAGCAGCTGGGGTTGTTGTGATAGGTATTCTTTTCATATATTGTTTTAAATCTTAACACTGTGATAGATCTGGAAAGGTCATAGTACATGTGAGTCTACCAAAATGAAACTGCAAAGTCTTGGAAAGAATGCTAAGCATAAAAATACTCTGGCTCAATGCATCTTTTTGAAGTTTGTCATTTTTAATGCAGATTTTTTAAAATGATAAATACTTTACATAGGGATTTTTAGAATCCTAGAAATTTTGGTATGTATCTTGGGTAGGAAAGAAGGAATTTATTTGTTTTCTGTTGAGATGAGATTTGTATTCAAAGGATGATCAGTGAAAATAAAGTCATTTCTAGGTGCAGAGAGGAAAGATGATACAGTATGGTAGAACAGTTATACCTAGTTTTGCGTAGTGCTTACTGCTCACAAAATGTTTTCACATATCATGTTATCCCTCCTAGTAACCCAGAATACTTCTTTCTACTATTCCAACTACTGTATGGAAACAAAGAGATAATCAGTTGACTTGCCCGTATAGCTGGTGGGTGTTAGAACTGGGACTTTCTGATTATAAGGTACACAGCTTCTTTCTGTTACGGGTTTATGAAAAATTTCTGCAGCAACTGTACGAAGTTTTAAGAAAAAGGAATTTCCAAGGCCAGGTTTAGTGGTGCTTAAGGTAGATCTGAAATTCGGTCTGAAAAGCAGAATAGTTTCTCTGCCAATGAGAGGGATTTGCCCTGAGATTATAACAGACCTTCTGATTTCTAGCTTTACAAAACGTTTGTGATCTTTTGACTCTGGCTGATGGGAGAGGTGCTTCAGTACTCAAAGGTCCACTTTGAAATGAAGTAGTACAGTTTGAGCATTCCTAATCCAAAATTGCCAAATCCAGAATGCTGTGACATTGAAAATTTTTGAGCTCTGGCATGATTCTCAGTGGTTTTGGTTCAGGTTTTAAGATTAGGAATACTCATTTGATAGTTTGTACAAAGACTCCAAAATCTGAGAAGCTCTGAAATCTACTTTTGGTCCTAAGCATTTCAGATAAAGGATACTCAGCCTATACTTCTTAGAGAGTTACTCTCTTGGATTCTCTTTGCAGTAGTTTTCTTTTTAATCTCTGTTTCCAGGAACCTCCAGAAGATGATGCAAACATCATAGAGAAGATCCTGGCATCTAAGACCATCCAGGAGGTTAGTGGTTTGTGTTTCTAGTTTTATTTTACTAGTACAGATTATGCCCTCTGTGAAGAAATACGTTAGCTAGGGAATCTGAAATAGTTGTCCCTGGGGAGAGTAAGAGTTTGACAGTAATACTGTCTGGCTAGTCAACATTTATTTTTACCTTCATGAAAGATTTTAGGACATAAAATTATTAAATATATAGAATGGCTCAAATATATAGTTTTATCCATTGTTATTCTAACCATAGGTTTGGATTATTTGTTTGTTTGTTTTTTTTGTGGTACTGGGACTCAAATGTAAGACCTTGCATGTATAAGGCAGGCAGGGTGCCACTGAACTAAATCTCCGGCCCATCCATAGATATTTTTACCCCTTAGTTTTTAGCAAATTAAAAGTAACCAGTGGCTGAAAACTAAAGGAAAAAGTCCTAATAGAAATGTGTTGGGATTTTTTTCTTTAGACGTCTCAGAGCATTTATAGGCCTCCCCCAGACAGAATTCTTCAAGTGAGAGAGTGTGTTGTCACCAATGAGAGCATAGCTTTATTTTTACTTCGTGTATTTATGATTGTAAACTCCCTTGCAATTGCTTAATGGGAGGGGTATGGAGAATGCCAGCCATAAATGAAGTCGTCTCTTCACCAGACTACAGTCCTGACATTTCTCAGAGCCCTGGACCGACTTGGGTTTATCACCTAAATGCTGTCCCCACCTGAATGTTGTCTTCTTGGAAGTACATCACTCTCTCTCTCTCTTTTTTTTTTTTTTTTTTTTTAATTTAACAAATAGCTCTGTATTTAGCCTCTGGAAAAGTTAACCAATAGCTTGTTAGGAAAAAGCCTACAAAAATGAGAATATCCTCAAGAAATCTTTATTCAAACTGGGTCAAGGTATTGATTTATCTGCTTGCTTTTTGTGTGGAAGGGTGATTGGCCTGGGATCTGGGCTGATAACAGTTTTCTATTTGTTACAGGTTCACCCAGGAGAACCTCCATTTGACCTAGAGCTATTCTACGTTAAGTATAGAAATTTGTACGTTTATTTACTATATACATTTGGATTTTATATGAATAAAAATTATTTTCCCTTGACATTTTATTCTCTTCTATATTTTCAGAAACTGGCCCCTAAGGCATGACCCACAGATTTTGGCTGAATCCAGTTCTTAAGCTGTAGCATTTAGACTCCTCTGGAAGGCTTTTAAAAACTAAAATTCCTCCTCCACCCAAAACTGATTAACTCAGACTCAGTGGGCCCCATGGGATGGTATTTTTTTTAAAACTCGTTGGGCAATTCTTAAGTGCATCTATGGAAGAAAACTGCTGTCCTATAGTGTACGCCCTTTTCTCATTTGCATTTTTCTCCCTCTCTGCTGCCTTCACATTTTCACTAATGTACATTTGATAGCTTGCCCATATCTGACCATCCTACTCTGAGCCAGTTTCTATAAAAGCTTCAGAGAGATCATTTCCTTAGAGTTACATCATTTTTGTGGGTTTTTTTGTTGTTTGCCTTAGGGTCAAGGCCTTTTTAAGCACAGTCTCCAGCAGTTTCACAACAGACCATTCTGCTGCCTCTGTGTAAGGTGGTCACCCTGTTTATGGAAATCTTAAAGCTCAGACATTCACTAGCTATGTGTATCTCACAATTTGTGTATCTTTGGATAGTTCCTACTTACATTGTAAATGGGCTACAATGGAAGAGCTGGAAAAGGATCCTCGCATCGCACAGAAGATCAAGCGATTTAGAAATAAACAAGCGCAGATGAAGCACATTTTTACTGAGGTGAAGCAAACTTTATTGACTTATTTGACTGCTGCTTTTCTTGCAGCATTAAATTCTGGGTTTAAATTTCAGTCCAAGTTGAAGTCATATACAGATCTGTTGTTCAGGTACTGTTTTACATAACAGTACACATATCGTGTACTTTTTCACATAACTGTTTATCTCTGGATAGAAGTTGATGAGGTCTGACCTGTCCGGAGAGCGATGTGGCAAGAGGCATCAGGTGTCCCAGAGCCTGCATTTCCTTTGTCCCTGAAATTCCGTCATTTATTTTAATGAAGTTGTCAAGTCTACATAAATATTTAGCTGTGGTATAGGACTGTTTATATTTGGTGAAAAATTGAAAGCAAACAAAATATTAGATAATAAGCGTTTGTTACTATTTTTTAATTTCTATCAGTAATGTTATAGTACATAATGATTACGTTCATTACAGGGAGCTGGTATGTGTATGTAACACATCTTAATTCTTTTTATGTCTCTTTCCTTTCACCTCTTCTCTCCCTTCTCTTTCTCTCCATTTCTTGGTCCCTTCCCATTTGCAGAAGATCTGTCTCCTTATTTACTACTATTTTTCTTTTTCTTTTCCTTTTTTGAGACAGGGTCTCACTATGTAGTTGAGATTGACCTGGAATTCACTATGTAGTCCAGGCTGGTCTGAACTCACAGCAGTCCTCTTGCCTCAGCTAGGATTATAGGCGTGCGCCACCACACCTGGCTCTAGGCGCTACTACTATTTTTCTTTTATTTGCTCTTTAATTATTTATACTTTGGATTTTTTGTTTAGTTTTGTTTTTTTGAGGCAGAGTCCAGCTATGTAGGGGCCTTGAACTCACTAAGTAGCCTAGCCTAGCCTCAAACTTGCAGAGATCCTTCTGCCTTAAACCCCTGAGTGCTAGAATTACAGGCATGCACCACACACTTGGCTTGGATTTTTCATATAGGAGAAACCATGCTTATGTATCTTATTTCACTTAGAGTTATGTTCTCAGAATTGTGATTCACAATCACTGTATTTTTGTGGGGTGTTTTTTTGTTTGTTTTTAATTCTTTTTTTTCAAATTTTTATTGAGTTTATTGGTACAATCTAGGTATACAATACAATTACATTCATTATTGGGATCCTGTGCCTTTACATGACAGGTCTTAATTCTCATTTTTTCCCCTTGTCACTGCCCTCCCTTCACCCCCTCTTCCCCTTCCCATTTACAAACACTTTATTTCCATTTTTTCATTTTCTCATATTTTTTTTCCTCTCCCTTATTACCTTCCCCCCCCTTCCCACTTTCCCTGCAACTTTAGCCCTTTACTTCCTATTTCACATTATTAATTATCTCATTAGGCTCTTGTGTACTTTTATTTTTTTTCACACCAGAGAAACTTCGTTATTACTAAAAAGGAAAGTAAAAGAGAAAAGGCAATGATGTAAAATTAAAATAATCCTTAATTCTGAACATGAAAATGGTCTTTGAACATATTTAAGTTGCTTCTTGCTCTTGTAGTGTTATATTATTCTCTTCATAATCACTTTAAATATATCCTGGAGAATGGAATGTGGTACATCTAGTAAAAATATTGGAGAAATATTAATAGTAATTTGGAAATTGCTTGATGTTACAAACTGTTGTTAGTAGAAAATGTCAGTCTCTAAGAAATATAAGGGGAAATTCCATTTGGGTGGTGTAGGAGAAAAGAGGCACTATAATAATACATAGAAAATGTCTTGAATAGATATATGAAAATGTTGATACCATTTTCTGTGGTTGTTGGGATTATGATAAATTCTATTTTCTTCTCCTTTTTTACATATAGTTTTCAATTTTGAATAGATAATGTTTGAAGAAAAGAAGCAACAAAACTTAGTCTTAACAGGGCCAGGGATTTAGCTCAGTGGCATTGTTCCTGCCTCACAAGTGGTGAGATCCTGAATTTGATCCCCAGTACAAAAACGAACAGAAAAACTACTTATTTTACAATGTAAAGTGATTAATACTAGACCCCAATGAGAACAGTCAGGTCATCAAATTATGCTTAATTGCTATGTAGATTTAACCAGTTTATTCACATTATGTTCTGTTTCCTCCAGTGGTAGAAATTAATTTAGAATAATGTCAGTAAACATTCTCCTTAGAATTCAACTTAGAATCCTTCCTATTTAACCTTAACAGTTTGGCCTCTGCCCTCTCTATGAGTGTATTAAAAGGTATGAGAACTGTTTTTCATGGCAGTGTTCGTCAAGTAGAGACTTGGTGAAAGGAAGATGAAGATTAGAACTTTTTTTTTTGAGACAGGATCTATCTCTGTAATTCAGACTGGCCTTGAACTCACTATGTAGCCCAGCCTAGCCTTAAACTTCTGGTAATCCTCCTGCCTCTGCCTTCCCAGTGCAGGGATTACAGGTGTGTGCCACCACACCCAGCAGAAGAACCATTCTTGAAACCCCATTGGTTATTCTCACTATTTCTTAGAAGATTTTATTCACACTCGTTTCTTAGCAAGTATTTGCAATGTAAAAATTGTTAACATGTCAAGTTCTTCTGTTTTAAACCCTGTTTTAAGATAGACAGTCCATGGCTTCCTCCTAGTTCTATCACTGGCACTCGGCACAAGGTCAGTGCCCAGCAGTCATTTGGCTGTGCCCACATAAGGGAGGAGAGACTGCCTTGTGCCAGTCCCCTGCTTCAGACTCTTCAGCACTTCCCATTTTCTTGGAATAAATTTCAAACTCCATAACACAGCCTCCACAGCCTTGTGTGTTTTCTTTGCGATAATTCCACCTGCTTTTTGAGGTAGTCAAGGCACATGTGATGATCCAGTTTAAGAGGCTGCAGGATCCCACCCAGCACAGAGGTAGAGGCCTTCTGACTCAAAATTCCAACTCCTGAAAACCCAGACTTTCCAACCACGTCAGTGCTAGGAGAGTAAATGACAAAGTCAAAGTTCGAGTTTGCCTGTCAAGGCTAGCATGAATAAAACAAATAAATGTTATCTCTTACAATGTTATTTTAAGAAACTTTATAGTTTTGTTTTGTTTTAGTACTAGGGATCGAACTCAGGTCCTTGCGCTTGCAAGGCAGTCACCAGAACCCCTGAGCTAAATCCCCAGCCCAGAACTTTATAGTTTTGAAATGGAAAAAATGTGATAGCAGTTCTAGGGAGAAAGCATACTGCCAGTTTATTTTTCTGAAAGTTTACTGTGTGCAGAGTCACAATTCCTATCCTGCTTCACTAGAAGAATCCTCCTGTGCCTTGCTTTTTTTATTCTTTACTATGATGTTCATTTGAGTACCAGGACTCACTGAGGACTTTGAAAAACCTCAGAGCAGCTGCAAGAGGACTGTAGTGGTGATGGAGGGACAGAAGCATAGCTGAGGGAGTAAGAACAAAGGTGGAAAATGGACTGCACTATGGTCAGAGCCTGGGCTCTTGAGTCAAACTGCTGCAGCTTCCTCCCAGCACACACACATACAAAGAGCTGGGAGCCTTGCCTTTAAACTCACCATCATTGTTATATACAAAGTGGACTCCTTATGCTAGCAGCCTTACAGAACACCTACTCATAAGTGACCACAGTGCTGTTGTTTTTCAGCTTTATTGAGGTATAATTGACAAAAATTGTGTATAGTTAAGGGGTACAACTTGATATTCTCATGAAGTTATCCTCTTGGCAGATTTCAAGAGTATATAATACAATATTTTTGACTGTTGTCAGTGTGCTGTACTCTAGATCAGAATATTTATCTACATTACTGAAATTTTTGTACCCTTTACCAACATATGTCCCTCCCATCTGCTCCAGCAGCCACCATTCTACTCTTTGCTTCTGTGAGTTTGGTACATTCCACATATAAGTGAGATCGTATAGTTTTTGTCTTTCTGTGCCTGGCCTATCACACTTAACATGCTGTCTTCCATATTCATCCATATTGTTGCAAATGGCAAGATTTGCTTCTTTTTCTAAGGCTGATACTCCATTGTGTGTATATAAAAACCATACTTTCTTTTTGTGTATTATGGATGAACACTTAGCTTGTTTCCATATCTTGGCTGTTGTGAACAATAAATGGCAGAGTGGATATAGAGGAGTGTAAGAGGGTACCTAACTCATAATCACTATAAATATTCCAGAAATATTAGTTGTCTGTATCATCCAGAGATCTGGCCATAGAACATATGTAGAATAGTTTGACAACTTGGTATTGTGAGATTGTTTGGCAAATTTGTTTTTTTTTTTTTTTTTTTTTTTTTTAACTAGGAAAGAGATGTTACAGAGGAGAGAATCAGATTAGTGTTGTCTCAGTTCACAAAACTTAATTCTTTCCACGATTCTGGTCACAAACCAAATTGGACAGAAACCAAATCAAATTTCCCCATCAGGTCATCAATGAACCTAACTATTGAATTTGATTTGGTTCTCATTTTGTTTTTTTTTTTTTTTTTTTTTTTTTTAACTAGGAAAGAGATGTTACAGAGGAGAGAATCAGATTAGTGTTGTCTCAGTTCACAAAACTTAATTCTTTCCACGATTCTGGTCACAAACCAAATTGGACAGAAACCAAATCAAATTTCCCCATCAGGTCATCAATGAACCTAACTATTGAATTTGATTTGGTTCTCATCCATTGGTTTGCAACCAGAATCGTGGAAAGAATTAATTTCGCAAACCAAGGTACCACTGTACTTGCTGCTCCTGTAGAGGAAGTAGTTCATATTAGTGAGTAATAATTACAAGGAAGGAAGTTAGGGTATGATTATCAAATAATGATACAGCCTGTGATACTATTAAACAAGTAGAGATAAAGCTGTTTTGGCAATGGATCAAGGTAGTAAATTTCTTAACAGGAGCAATTGAGGTTTTCCAGGGATGCTGTAAAAAGTATTTCTGCACTGATTAGACAATGAAACTGGATACCCCTAAAGTGCCTTCCAGCCTAAGAGGCAATAAGAACATCCCAGCAGTCCGGGAAGAGGGTCTATAGGTAAGAAAGACCTGGGTGACCATTTTTGTTTACACGGCTCTGTGACCTTGGTCATAGTACTTAACCTCTGATTCAGTTTCCTAATCTATAAGGTAATTTTAGCATTTACTGTCTCTGTAAGGTAGTTTTGAGCATAAATAAAAGTACTCAGTGTAACTCGGGACACCCATTAAATATTCTTAGATGTTGCTTATTGATTTGTAAGTCTTTTTTGACACATAATAAAACATTGTGCTCATCTCATTTTTACAAAATAAACATTTTTAGCTCTTGTCTAGAACAAGAAATATAACTACATCAGTACCCAGTAAATTCAGTTTATTCCCCTTCTTATATTAGCACTTGTCCTTACTAAGAAGTAAAAGAAACTAATTCTAAGTTGCCAAGGGAACCAAGGACCAGTAACACAAAGGGAAGCTTTGTGGTGGTTTTTCTACATTCCTGTTATGACCAACTGGAAAATCCTACCTAGCTGTGGTGCACCCCCAGATATTTGTACCCTTTAAATTTAATCATGGAGACTAGAGTTTGGGGACAGTAAAGAAGTTGTCTGTAAGGTAACTTTTTGTCAAGCAGTCTTTGCTGGGGTTTTTTTTTTTTTGGTTTTCATTTCTCATTTTTTGAGTCGGTCTCACTGTGTAGTTAAGACTGGCCATGAGGAGGCCAGGGATTTAGCTCAAAGGTTCTGGCGCCTGCCTTGCAAGCCCAAGGGCCGGAGTTCAATCTCCTGTACCAAAAAACCAAAAACAAAGACTGGCCATGAATTCAATATGTAGCCCAGACTGGCCTCGAACTGTTGGAGATCCTCTGCCTCAGCATCCCAAATGCTGAGATTATAGGTGTGTGTCACGCCACCCGTTGTTTTCTAACAGGGTCCAGAGTCACTTAAAATGCTGGGTTTTAGATTTAAGGGAAAGGACGTACACTTCTTAACTGTTTTCTTCTGTTTGTGTTAGCCTGATGAAGATTTGTTCAACCCAGACTATGTAGAAGTTGATCGCATTTTAGAGGTGGCCCACACAAAGGATGCAGAGACAGGGGAGGTGAGTGTGTTGCCTTTTGCCTCTTCTAAAGCATTGTCCTTTTTTCCACATTTTGCTTATTTGGTTAACGTGTGGGATGTAATAATATTCACATTTTGTCACAAAAGGTAGACCCAGTGGTTGGCAGAGTATGATTGACACCTTAATCCAGTAGAAAATACACTAAGTTTCTCTCCTGTTTCCCACTAGGAGGTAACACATTACCTGGTGAAGTGGTGCTCCCTGCCATATGAAGAAAGCACGTGGGAGCTAGAGGAAGACGTGGATCCTGCAAAAGTTAAGGAATTTGAATCTCTGCAGATTCCTCCTGAAATTAAGCATGTGGTAATGTATCTAGAGCTCTGTCTGATGTCTCCTATAACATGTAATTTTATGAATGTGGTGATTATGCTGTCCATTTTCTATGCTCCTACGTAGTTTCTGTGGTATCTTTGTCATTCCCCACACTGAGCCTGTAGTTCAGGGTGTTTTTCTCCCCAAATCACACTTTCTCTGCATCTTGGTTTTCTTTAGGTCTGGGCTTCATTTGAACATGTGCAACATTTAAGAAGCTCAGCTGTGTGCTTCAGTTTCTTAATATGGGGCTGTTATGTTGGGTCAGTAAGATGGGATGTGTAAGGAATTCTGGCGTGCAGAAGAAGCTCAACTGATAGTGTCTTTCTTGCTTCCTATTTCTTAGCTCTTGCTCCATCAGTGATCTTTCTTTTTTTAATAGTAAAATAATGTATTGCACATAATCAAATAGGTGAGGAAAATGTAATAATAAAACAATACTTGATTAGTGGTAAAGATATAAATACAGAAGAGTGAAAGGTAAATAAGAGATTGGACAGTTGAAACAAGGCATAGAAAAATGGTACCCTGTTCTTAATTCATTTTATCGGTCATATAGTAAGCATCTGCTGAGGTTGATTCTTATGAGTTATAATAAGAAACAAGGTACAAACCCTGTCCCCAGGAGTTCAGTCTAATAGAAGAAATGTGTATATGACAAGTTCAATGAAAAGCTGATTGTGATATGTGGCATAATGCAGAAAACAATTAAATGTGGGAGCAGAAAGGAGAGAAAATTTCATTCTGAAGCTAATTTAATTTATCATCTAGAAGTAATCAGAATTCATACTCATTCTTCCAGCCCAACTCCCACTTGTTCCTTAATCTGACTGTGCATTTGGCAGGAAAATGAATTCGCCAATGTTTTCAGGTGATGTCACATTTTCCTTTACTTCTTTGCAGTTGTGATACTGTTGTCCTCCCCAGCCCTTTGAGTCATAGAATCCTTTCATATTTGTCTTTTTTTTTAAATTTATCTTATTGAAAATGGATATTTTGAAATTTTATCTTTAAAATTCTGAACTGAAATGGTAGCTAAAAATATAATTTAAGCTGTCTTTTTTATATGTTAAAAAGGCTGATAAATGGGATTTCACCTGAATAAGTTCAAGGATATTATTCCTAATGTTGAAGTTCAGGATGACCTTACCAGCCTAGGGGAATGGGACATTTAGTATCTAAAATCACTGAAAGAGGAAAAACCTGGAGCAATGCCTAGATCAGCGAGCTGTACCTCCAGATTACTGCACTTCCAAGATAGTGAATAGAAATTGACAGTGAAATCACTCTTATTTGATGTCTGCAATCCTTAGAGGCAAAGATGCCTCCAGAAAGTCTCCATTGTGTCTAGTACAATATGGAAGAATGGCCAGGAGGCTGAGTGCTTGGAGTTTAGGGTTCCAGGCCCAATGGTTCACGTAGGCTAATAAGCATAAGGTAATTTCTTTACAGGACAAGAACAGAACTTGTGTAGGAATATCTTTGCTCAAAAGGTACAGTGTATTTTTTTTTTTTTTTTTAATGGTACTGGGGACACTACCACTGAGCTACACCCCCACTCTTTAAAAAATTCCCACAAGGAAGGTAAACATTATGTACTACACATACATGCTAATAAACTAAAATTTACAGATTTCTTTTTAATTTTGAGACAAGTTCTCACTGTATTGCCCAGGGTGACTTCAATCTTGTTATAATCCTGCATTAGCCACCCAAGCAGTTGGAATTACAGCATAATACAGTCTGTTCTCTTATTTCTGGAACTGTGTGCTGGTAATAATATAACAGTGTTCCATTTCAGAGTGCTTAGTTTAATCACAGCTACAGCAATTTTGCTGGTAAATTGTAATATGATTTTTCTGAGAGACCATAGATAGCTTATACACATCACCAAAGTGATTTTTGTAATTGAGGATTTTTTAAAAATCTCATCACATGCAAATAGTTAGCTTTTTCATGTAAACATTACTGCAACAGCACAAAGTAGAATGACCAAAAACTAACATTGTTGTGTAGTGAATGTTAATCTTAATATTCTCATTTATAACTATGGGCTAGTTAAGATTTTAATTTTTAAGATCTTAAAGTGTCAGTCTAGGAGTCAATTGGTCTATAAGCAAAATAGCCATGTCTGTTTTGAAATAATAATTTTTTTAAAAACCTAATACATAGAACTTTGAATGGAAAAGCTCAACTCAGAGACTTAAGTTACCCTCAAAATAATAAATTCATTGTAATTCTAATTGAAATTCCAGTAAGATTTTAAGAGAACTTGGCAGATTGATTCTAAGGTTGTACAGAACAATAAATAAGATAGAAAAGGCATTTTTTTTCCAACTTTAATTGAGTTTATTGGTACATTTTAGGGATACAGTACAGTTACATTCGTTGTTGGGATCTTGTACCTCTACATGACAATTCTTGATTCTCATTTTTTCCCCTTACCTCTGCCCTCCCTTCACCCCCTCCTCCCCTCCCCATCTACAAACACTTTATTTTCATCATCTACCATTTTTTTCTTTTCCCTTTTTACTCTTCCCCTACCCATCCCACCTTCCCTACACTTTTAGCTCCTTTGTTCCCATTTCTAAATGTCAGTAATCTTATTAGAATCTTATGCATTGTTGCAGATTATTTACACCAGGGAAACTATTCGGTATTTACACATGTGTGATTTATTTAAGAAAAGGCATTTTTTAAAAAGAATTTCCCATCAGATTATAGTTATAGTAATTGAAGAGTGTAGCTTCATTGCAGACAAACAAGGCATTGGAAAAGAGTGAAGAATCCTGATACAGCTCCATGGCTTTTTCTGGAACTTAATATATAATTGTGTCTCAGATCAGCAAAGAAAAATTTATTGTTTTTAGAACCTGGTGTCTCATGTGGAAAAATAAAGTAGTAAGACTGTTACACCTCCATATTGTTTGAGAAGAATTTATGGAATTTGCAGTTTTGATGATACAAATTTTTTGCTGCATTTTCTAAATTTAGAAACTAACCAAGACAGTATTTGACCCACTGTGCTTTCCTAAGCTGGTACTGTAGGCACCAAGAAATAACAAAAAGAAATTCTGTTTATAAAAATTTAAAACTTTGACTAATAGTCGTTTTTGAGGGAAATAAAAGTGTGAGAGTGGCATCCAAGAATCTAAGTAAAGCAGCATCACACTCTTACCAGGATTTTAGATAGGTCTGCTTTTCTTATTAATACTTGTAGTCTTAATCTAGTGAAGTCTAGATTAGTGAACATTATTAAGAAAATAATAACTGCAGCTTGAAATTAGCCTTAGGATAGTGTTTGAGATTTAGACCTACCTCATAATTATTTCTTATGCGCCTAACACCCTTCTACAGTCTGTGCTTTTTGCTTTCTCCCCAGGAGCGGCCCGCTTCAGATTCCTGGCAGAAACTTGAAAAGTCTCGCGAATATAAGAACAGTAATCAGCTCCGCGAATACCAGTTGGAGGGGATGAACTGGCTTCTTTTTAATTGGTATAACAGGTGAGGGACCAGAACAGGCCAGATATTTATAGCTGTTGTTGCCTTAGCCTGGCAAAAATAAAAAAGTCTGACCAAAACGGTTAGGATCATCCTAGATGATCCTGTATTGCTGTTTTCTGTTTCTCAGTTTTATTTTGGGTGTTTTATTTTGTTTTGTTTTGAGACAGAGTCTCACTATGTTGTTGAGACTGACCTGGAACTCGCTATGTAGCCCATGTGAGTCTCGAACCCACAGCAATCCTCCTGCCTCAGCCTCCCAACTGCTGGGATTATAGGCATGCACCACTGCGCCCAGCCCTCTATTTTCTCAGTTTTAGTCCCAACACATTTCCCCAATTAAAAGGTAATGGATCTGGATTGTTAGGCTCCACTCTACTTATATATGAATCATAGATATACTGGACTCTTTGTGTGCTGATTTTTTTTATCAGAATTTAGCTGAACTAGATGAAATTTGGGAAGACGGATTGAGATTTTCGCAGCGTTCTAAGTAATACCTCATAGTAATGACTTTAAGATTGTGTTGTAATGCAAAACATACTTAGATGGGGTTAGCACAGTCATTGTCACTTAGGGAGCATAATTCAACCAGGCCAGCTCTTGGATTGCTGATCTGAACAATTAGAGTGAAACTAGGTGGTATTCACACTCCTAGGAGCTCAGCTCTGTTGTGTGATCTGTGATTCTGAATCACCGGAAGAGATCAGCTTTTTACTGTGATAGGGGTTTATTATGCTGATTAAAATCTTGTCCTTTTAAAACATACCAATGATAGCTGATAAGAATCATGTGAGTATCTTTTTATGTTTACCTTGAATTCTTTCTTTAGGGGAAGTGGCTCTATTTTATTAGTATATTTAAAATATACATAATGATAACATTCATCATAAGGAATTTCTACCTATACATAATATATCTTACTGCTGCTTTTTTTCTCATTCTGCTCTCCTCTCTTCAACCCTCTTCCCCTCTTTATTTACAAAAGCTGTTTCCATTTTTTCCTTCAATTATTTTTTTGTTTCTTATTGCTTCTTTCCTTCCCTTGACTCCTCTCTTGTTCCCCTTCTGATGTGAATATTTCTTCCCATTTCCCAATATCTGTTACACATTTTGGCCCTTATTTACACTTTTGGTTTCCTATAGCAGAGTAACAATGTGGTATTTAAACATTTGTATCCAATTTATTTTACTTAAGAGTATGGTCTCGAGGTACATCCACTTATCTAGAAATGTTTCATGGTTATCCTTCTTTATGGCAGAGCAGTACTCCATCGCATTGAACAAACACACACACACACACACACACACACACACACACACACACACACCCCTTCTTTATCTGTTCCTCGGTTGATGGGCATTTGGGCTATTTCCAAGAGTTAGCTATTACAAACTAGTGCTGTAAACATGTGTATGTGTATGCATCTATCTCTGTGATATGAAACTTTTGGTTAGGCACCAAGAAGCAAATGGAACCTTTAGGTTTAGTTTTTTGAGCAATCTACACATTGATTTCCACAGTGGTTGCACCAGTCTACAGTCCACCAACAATGGAGAAAGGTCACTTTTTCCCCATAGTCCTGGCAGGATTTGCTATTGGTTGATTTCTTGATAATTGCCATTCTTTCTGGGGTGAGATGGAATCTGAGTATTTTGTTAAATTGTATTTCTTGAATGACCAGTGATGTTGAACATTTTTTCTTATATTTATTTGCTGTTGCTACTTCTTCATCTGAGAAGAGCCTATATTAATTTCAGATGCCCATTTTTGGATTGGGTCTTTAAGTTTGGGGGAGTATGATTGTCAGTTTTGTTTGTTTGTTTTAGTTCTTTATATATTCTAGATATTAGTCCTTTGTCTGAGGAACAACTGGCAGAACATTTTTCCCACACTGTGAGTTGTCTCTTCACTCTGTTGGTGGTTTCTCTTGCTGTGCAGAAGCTTTTTAATAAAATGAGATCCCATTTCGTGATTGTACTAGTTCACTTTTTTGACTAAGGTTTTGTTCATGAAATCTTTCTCCACACCAATGTCTTCAGGAGTTCTCCCTAACCTCTCTTCCAGCTGGGTTAGTGTTTCTGTTTTAATATTATTGTTTTCATTAAGTTAATTGGTACATTTTAGGTGTACAATATGATGACATTCATCACTGGGAATTTGTACCTTTACATGATATATTCTTATATTTTTTATTCCCTTGCCCTCCCTTCAACTCTTCTACCCCATTTATAAAGACTTTGTTAACATTTTTTCCTTTCCCTTCTTTCCTTTCCTGTACTCCCCCCACTTCCTCCTCCCCTTTAGATATTTTCTTCCTATTTCACATTATGTGACTCATTTTAATTCATATTTACACTTTCAGTTTCTCATGCCAGAGAAGCTATTCAATATTTATACATCTGTTTATTACATGTAGGAGTATGGCCTTGATTTGCATCCATTTAGCTATAAATGACTGTAGCTTTTCATTGTTTATGGCTGAGTAGTACTCTATTTTATAGAAAATAACAAAAAACCCATCTTCTTTATCCAGTCTTCACTTGATGGGCAATTGGGCTGTTTCCAAGTTTTAGCTATTACAAACTGTGCTGCTATAAACATGGATGTGCATATATCACTGTGGTATGATTCTTTTAGTTTTTGGGGGAAGATACCCAGCAGGGGAATACCTGGGTCTAATGGAACCTCTAGTCCTAGTTGCTTGAGGTATTTCCATATTGATTTCCATGGTGGTTGCACCATTCTGCCCTCCCACCAGCAATGAAGAAGGGCTCCTTTCTCCCCACATCCCAACAGCATTTGTTATTGGTTGATTTCTTGATAGCATCCATTTTTTACTTGAGTGAGATAGAATCTCAGTGTTGTTTTCATCTGCATCTCTAAATGACCAGTGATGTTGAACATTTTTTATGATTATTTGCTGCTTTTACTTCTTTGTCTGAGAAATGTCTGTGCATTTTAGATGCCCATTTTTGGATTGAGTCTTTAAATTTGGAGGGTCTGCTTTTTTAAAGTTCTGTATATATTCTAGATAGCAGTCCTTTGTCTGAGGAACAGCTAGTAAAAATTTTTTTCCACATTGTAGCTTTTAGCTACAATCTCTTAGCTCTGTTGGTGGTGTTTCTTGCAGTGCAGAAGTTTTTTAATAGGATAAGATCCCAGTAATTGATTCTCAGTGCTAGTTCCTATGCTACTGAGGTTTGGTTCATGAAGTCTTTTCCTATGCCAATGTCTTCAAGAGTTCTACCCAACCTATCGTCCAGCATGTTTAGTATTTCTGTTTTAATATGCAGATCTTTGATCTAGTTCAGTTTTAGTTTAGTGCATGGTGAAAGATAGGGTTCTAGTTTTAATCTGTGGCAGGTTGAAATCCAGTTTTTCTAGCACTATTTATTATAGAGACTGTCTTTCCTCTAGTGAGGGTGTTTGACTCCTTTGTCAAATATGAGGTATCTGGGTATGTCTGGAGTTGTTTCTGCATCTTCTCATCTGTTCCACTGATTCTCAGGTCTGTTTCTTTGCCACTACCATGCTGTTTTATCACAGTGGCTTTGTAGTATAGTTTCAAGTTGGGGATTATGATACCCGCTGTCATATCTTTGTTGTATAGAATTGCTTTCGCTATTCTAGGTGTCTTCTGCTTTCAAATAAATCTTTGGATTGTTTTCTCTAGTCTGTGAAATATACTGTTGGGATTTCAATTGGGATTGTATTAAATCTATACAGCAGTTTTGGAAGTACAGCCATTTTTACTATATTGGTTCTTCCTATCCCAGGTGCAAGGGATATCTTTCCATTTTCTTTTGTTGAAAATTCTGCTGTGATTCTGATGGCTTTCTTCTGTTTGTGATTTGTTTTTTTTCTTTAATTGCTTGTAGGATTTTGTTCTTCTATTGGGTTTCTGGGATCTTGACTATTATATGTCTAGGTATATTTTTTTTTTTTTTTTTTTTTTTTTTTTAATCATGGCAAGTTGGAGTCCTATATGCCTCACTTACCTGTATGTCTAATTCTCTTCCTCTGTTTGGGAAGTTTTCTGCCATTACTTCTGTGAACAATTTTTTTAATGTCATTTGTACATTCTCCTGCTTTTTCAAGGACTCCCATCAGTCTTCTGTTATTCTTCTTTGCATCATCTAGCAGCTGCTATGTCAATTTCTCAGGGTCCCTTATTATTTTTAAGAAATCTCCCTTTTCTTTCACTAACCCTGATCCTGTCATCTAAATGTGATATTCTATTTTCACATTGGCTTATTCTGCCATGAATGCTTTCAGTGGAATTTTTTAATCCCCTGTATATCTGTTTGAATCTGTTTTATGGATTCCATTTCTTTCCTATGTTGGATGTTCATGGTTTCCATTTCTTTCCTATGCTGGGTATTCATGGCTTCCATCATGGTCCTGAGCTCATCTACATTTGTATCTGTTTCTGTTCTAGGATCTCTAATCACATCTTTCATTCTACTCACCATCTATGTAGTTACTGGGAAGTTATTTCTGTCTGAATTTTTCTAGAGCTTCATTCATCTGTTTTGTTACTTCCAGTGATATCAGTTCAGGGTGGCCAGGTGATTGATTATCAGATCTTTCCACTTTGTAGCCCCCAGAATTTGAAAGTGTGGGTTTATACCTTGTTTAGGTGTCTTCTCATTTCTATTTTTGTTGGTGGTGTTTTTTGGTTTAATTCCTAGGATGATACTTCGATATTGCTTTTTTTTTTTTTTTTTTTTTTTTTTTTTGGTACTGGGGATTGAACTTGGGTCCTTGGGCTTGGGAGGCAGGTGGCAGAACCACTGAGCTAAATCCCCAGCCCGATATTGCTTATTGTGAGTATCTTTATTGCTTGTATTCAGAACCCTTATGGAATGATTGCTTCTCAGTGGTGTCTTCCAGGTATAGCTGCTCATTAGAGTCTCTAATGACTCTTAGCAATCTTGTTTTCAGTACACCAGGGAGGACAATTGATTATATCAATCACAACACCTTAGCCCAGTTGAATCAATCAGTATCAATGATAGCATCAAACATGGCTTAGAAAATGACAATTTGTCATAGCAATTAATCTATCACTAACTGTGTGCTAGATCAAAATTGAGGACCAACCCAAAAAATGTTTGTAGTAAATAAACCCTTCATATAGCAAATTTACTCTTCAGGATAAGGATTTAGAAGTAGTTGGGGAGGGAGGTATAGAGAGATAGAAGGAGAGGAAAAGGTTAGAAGTGATGGTAGAGGACAGAGGAAGATCACACAAATTTTGGGAAACTTGACAGGAGGAAGAGAGTGAAGGAACAAAGATAAGAACTGAACAAATAGCAATACGGAAGCTAGAAATTGTATTCACCTTTATATAAGACTAGTGACAAGAGAAGGAAAGAGAAAAACAATCTGAAATAGGACAGGAGCAGGAGCATAGAGGGAGAGAAATACAGAACAAGAAGGGAGACAGAGACAAAGAAAAAGGGGGGAAACAAATATATATATGTATTTGAGGGAAATAAAAGGGCCTCTTCCTTGGTATGTCTCTGCTAGACACCATGGGCAGCAGTGTACAGATCTAAGTCAGTTATTCTCAGCAAGCCATCTTGTAGTTCACTGAGATTCAGGTTGATTTCTGGCTGCAAGTTGAGGTCCCAGATGTCCTGCAGGACTGAACTCTGCAAGGTTCTACTACAGGTTCCAGCTGCCCTTCCGTTGAAGACAGTCCTGGTTCCTATGGGAGATGCTGATCCCACTAACTTATCAGCCATGGTGGTCCAGTGTGCCTTTATTGCAGAGATTTTTCCACTTTCCCAGTGTGCTTCAATTTTCATTGAGGAGCCTCAGAGAGGCCCTCTCTCTCTATTGTTCACTTTTGACCTATCTTCTGGAGCTTATAACTATGGCCTTTATGACCCATCAGTATCTCTGCAGTCTAGATTCAAATACTGCAAGCCCACATAGCGTGCTCCAGGGCCAGTGCTGGCATTGGTGAGAGGTTTCTGGGAGTGGTGTTCCTTTTTTGGTGTGTGTGTCAGGGATCAAACTCAGGACCTTGTACTTGCGAGGCAGGTAGCGGAGCCATTGAGCTAAATCCCTTTTAATAGTTAATAATAAGGTTGCTGAGCATGTTTGGAGTTTTTTCTGGATCGTCTAATATGATCCACTGATCCTTGGGTCTGTTTTCTTGCCAGTACCATGTTATTTTTATCACAATAGCTTTGTAGTATAATTTCAAGTCAGGGATTGTGGTACTTCCTGCTTGCTTTTGTTTCCTAGAGTTGCTTTTACTATTGTAGCTTTCTTCTGGTTCCAAATGAATTTTAGAGCTGGGCATGGTGGTGCATGCCTATAATCCCAGCTCTTTGTGTGGCTGAGGCAGGAGGATCGCTGTGAGTTCGAGACTAGCCTGGGCTACATAGTGAGTTCCATGTCAGTCTCAACTACATAGTGAACCCCTGTCTCAAAAAATCAAATGAATTTTAGGATTTTTTTCTAATTCTGTGAGATATGCTATTGGTATTTTGATCAAGATTGCATTAAATCTGTATAACAATGTTAGAAGTTTGACCAAATCTACTGTATTGGTTCTTCCTATCCAACAATAAGGTGTGTCTTTCCACTTTCTGATATATTCTTCAATTTTTTTCAGGGTGCTATAGTTTTCAGTGTTAAAGGTATTTTACTTCCTTAGATTGAGTCCTAGGTCTGTCTGTCTGTCTGTTTTTCTTTCTTTCTTTCTTCCTTTCTTTCTTTCTTTCTTTCTTTCTTGGTTACTAAATTGGTGCTATTTTGTTTTGTTTTGTTTTTATTTTTTGGTACTGGCGATTAAACTCAGGACATTGCGTTTGCAAGGCAACCAACAGAACCACTGAGCTAAATCCCCAGCCCTTGTTTGTATGTTTGATTGATATTTCTGCATTCTGTTCTCCAGTATCCAACTGAGAATTTTTGCATCTGTGTTCATTAGGGCAGCTGGCATGTAGTTCTCTTTTTTTTGGTTGGGTCCTTCTCTGGTTTTGGTTTCAGGTTATTGTTTGCTTCCAAGAATGAATTTAGGAGTATTGCTTTTCTTTCAGTTTCATTAAAGAGTTAGAGGAGGAATTGCAGAAATTAGACCTCCTCTAAGTATCCTGTAGAATTCAACAGGGAATCTTTTAGGACCTGGGCTTCTCTTTTTTGGTAAGTTTTTATTTACATCTTCAATTTCATTGAATATGTTGGTTTATTTAGAATTTTTATATCTTGATTCAACTTTGGTAGTTCATATCTATCTAGTAATCTGTCCATTTCTTCTGTGTTTTTTTATTTTATTAAAATACAGGTTTTCAAATTAGATTTTGATCTTTGGATTTTTGCAGGATCTGTTGTGATTTCAACCTTTTCTCAAATTAGGTGGTGTTTTTTGTGTTTTTATTTTTGTTTTTTTTTTTAGTTTTTTTGAGACAGGGTCTCACTGTGTAGTTGAGACTGACCTGGAACTCACTATGTAGCCCAGGCTGGTCTTGAACTTACAGCAATCCTCCTGCCAGCCTCCCGATTGTCCATTTCTTCTGTGTTTTTTTATTTTATTAAAATACAGGTTTTCAAATTAGATTTTGATCTTTGGATTTTTGCAGGATCTGTTGTGATTTCAACCTTTTCTCAAATTAGGTGGTGTTTTTTGTGTTTTTATTTTTGTTTTTTTTTTTAGTTTTTTTGAGACAGGGTCTCACTGTGTAGTTGAGACTGACCTGGAACTCACTATGTAGCCCAGGCTGGTCTTGAACTTACAGCAATCCTCCTGCCTCAGCCTCCCGAGTGCTGGGATTACAGGCGTGCGCCACCATGCCTGGCTCAAGTTAGGTTTTGATCTTTGGATTTCTGCAGCATTGGTTGTGATTTCACCCTTTTCATTCCGAATTGCATTGATTGGATTCTTCTCTTTCCTTTTTTTTGATAAGGTTGGATAAAATTTGTCAGTTTTGTTTAATCTTTCAAAGAATCAATTCGTCAATTCACTGATTCTTTGTATTATTTTCTTAGTCTCAGTTGCATTAATATCTGCTCTGATCTTTATAATTTTCCTTGTGTAATCTTTGGCTTGACTTGCTCTTTTTCTAGATGCTTGAGTTTCAACATTAGGTTGTTTAGTTGAGCTCCTGTTCTGATAGGGGATTCACTGCTATAAATTTCCCTCATAAGATTGCTTTCATTGCATCCTGTAAGTTCTGGTATATTTTATTTTCATTACCATTTAAGTATAGAGACTAATTTCTTCAGTTTCACCTGTGACCCATTGGTTGCGTGGGAAGGTTTTATTTAATTTCCATGCATTCATATAGTTTTTATGGTTTCTTTTGCCATTGATTTCCAAGTTCATTGCAGTATGGTCTGATAATATGCATTGGAAAATTTCAGTTCCTTTGCATCCACTTAAACATGTTCTTTGAGCTAGTAGTAGTCTATTTTGGAGAACATCCCATGTACAGCTGAGAAGAGTATGTATTCTGATGTTGTCGGGTGGAACACTGAAGACATCTGTTATGTCCATTTGTTCAGAAATTTGGTTCAGTTCTGATATTTCTTTGATTTTTGTCTAGGCATGTTTCTATGTGGCAGCCTCTGGGGTCATCAGTAGACACCATGCACCTGCAAGTTTGAGCTCTCCCTCCCATGCAGCAAATCAGAGCTCTAGGAGAAAGTGCCACTTGCCACCTCTTTCTTCTGTGTTGAGGTCTCTCTTTTCACTCTGCTTGTGGACTTCAGTTCTCACTTCAGATTCTTGCTGAGTCCCAGGGACTCACTTCCCTCCTTCTTCTCTTCCTCACGTTAATGCATTCCAGCATCTGGACAACAATCTCAGAGGCTGTTTCTCTGCTGTTCACCACTCCACCATCTTCCTGGAAGTCCCTACCTTGAGTTCTAAGAAATTTCTCAGTTATGAAAACTGGCTTAGATCTGAGGCAGTCTTTTTCTCTTTTTCTTAATATTATTTTAATTTTCAGTATTTTTATTTTTTATTTTAATAGACTTATTTCCTGTATGTTCTTCCAAGTTTCATTATGACACAGTTTCTCTTTGGAAGTAGACAGGATATGAATAATAACGAAAACCAACCTCACTTTTATTTCTGTAAAATGATGATAAACCCCTCATTGATAACTTTAAGATCAGTATACTTCTGAAGGACTTTTTAGTCTCAGCTCGCCTTTATAACTTTACTATATTGATCATGAATTGCCTATATTTTTTACCCTCTGCAGGAAAAACTGTATTTTGGCTGATGAGATGGGCCTAGGCAAAACCATTCAGTCCATCACATTCCTTTCAGAAATATTCTTCAGGGGGATCCATGGTCCTTTTCTCATCATTGCGCCCCTCTCTACTATCACCAACTGGGAGAGGGAGTTCCGGACATGGACAGAGATGAACGCCATTGTGTACCACGGCAGCCAGATCAGCAGGCAGATGATCCAGCAGTATGAGATGGTGTACAGGGATGCACAGGTGAGCCTCTCATCTGTCACAGAGACTCAGAGATACCTGAGCTCAGAGTAGCCTTTTGCCTCTTATCTTCAGGAATTTCAGAGCCCTGGGTTGGCTGTTGACTGACTTTGTGGAGTCATATTTGTTGATGCTGACTTCTTGCTCTTCCCTCTTGGTTTAATTTATGATAAAGCACAGTATTTAAGGAAGTGTGTTCTCACCTTTCTGAAATATACCAGAGATTTTTTTTTAGGATACTGAAAGCTTAGCTTATTGGTTAGCTTATGAAGTTGCTTTTAGATATGAAACATTTTATATGAATTGTCATCTGATCAGTGAAGGAAGTGAGAAGAATTAGTGTACAGTGGATAGATTCCAAGCCAGGAGTTTGGAAAGGACGGGAACAGATTGGACAGGGTAAGTAAAGGAAAAGCAGGTTTCATGTTGTCAAAACCACAAGAGAATTTTGAAGTTTTTGATACATATTATCACTCTGTTAAGTGTAATTATATGCTTGTCCTAGACTAGTAAGAATTAAATTATCCCAATCAAATGAAAGCTTGTATACTTTCTTCAGGGGTTTCATAGATAGCAGGAAACACTTGGCAGACATCATCCTCTAGCATGATGTAGCTCTGCTTTTGAAATGTGATGGCAACACTAAGACTGATTAGGAAACAAAGGTGTGGTTCTCTCCAGTAACACTTACCTTGGGTGAATTGGGGTCATTACTTTGTAAGCCTAAAACTGAGTTATAAGGTGAAATTAGGTGAAAATTAATTTTTTGAAAAAAGGTACAATTAATCTGAAAAGGAGCAGAGGGTTTCCTTGGGCATTCAATCTATGGATAATTTAGACCAACTCCTGGCTGGAGATGATACCTGAATCAGCCATATTTTCCTTATTATAACAATTAATAAATAAAAGGGGATCTGGGGAAGGGAGGAAAAAACAGGCCCATGGTGGGGGGTAATAAAAGGGTTAAGTTGGGATGTGTGTAGGTACCCATACATACCCTACAAGGAATATATTCATTATGTAGAACAAACATAACACTAATAAAAGAGAAATGGAAATAAGTAAATAAAAACTTCCCTTGCTGCGCCTTTGGCATCCATCATACATGTGTATGTGTGTTTACACGCACATGTGCAGTAGTGGGGTTTGAATATAAAGCTTTCTCACTGAGCTACGTACCCCCCATACACCCCGCATTTTGTTGGTACAAGGTCTTGCTAATTCACTGAATTTCCTCCCTGGGCTCAAACTTGCATTCTTCTTGCCTCATCCTCTCAAGAGTGCTGAGACTATAGGCCTGCACCACCAGGCCACTTATTTCTCACTCCTGTCTCATTGATGCTGTGAGGTTTGCCTTTTCTAAATACTGTAGCTGGTCATTCCTATATTCTCTCCCTTCTCAAATTAATAGCCCTGCCTTCTCTAATCTGGCACATAGTCTGTTACTCATGATATAAAGTTGTGTCTTTGATTATGTCATTCTCAGGGAAACCCCCTTTCAGGAGTCTTCAAGTTCCATGTTGTCATCACAACATTTGAGATGATCCTAGCAGATTGCCCAGAGTTGAAGAAAATTCACTGGAGCTGTGTGATAATTGATGAGGCCCACAGGTTGAAGAATAGGAATTGCAAACTTCTAGAGGGGTTAAAGCTGATGGCCCTGGTAAGAGCCAGGTTTTTACATAAATAAATACAGATAACTTTTATTCAGGGAGGTATTCCTTAGCCATTCTGCACATTACTTACTTATGTGTAGTCCTTTTGGCCACCTATTCTCAAAACAACTTGGGGAACTTTCACATATCATGAAATTTGTGACCTGAAAATTTAAAGTGTTTTAGTTTGTTTCTGGGTATTGACTTGGCAAGTGTCCAGTATGTAGTGGGCAGCCACTCAATTTTGAGTGAATTAGTGGACGGTTGCTTTTGTTAACAAAAAATTCTATCAGTCTTAGAATCCTTGTTCCGAAAGTTGATCTTTTTAATGACTATACCCCTATGAAGTGCTGGGACCCTAACTTTTCTTTAAATCAGAATATAATTGCTCCAAATTGAGCACAGAATACCTGGGCTTAGTTTTCCCCACTGAAATGTACTGTTTTGGTGACTCAAACGTTGTTCGTCATTTACGCTTAATTTATGCAGGAACATAAAGTACTACTCACCGGGACACCTTTACAAAACTCTGTGGAAGAGCTCTTCAGTTTGCTAAATTTTCTGGAGCCAACACAGTTTCCTTCAGAGACTGCATTCTTGGAGGAGTTTGGAGATCTGAAAACAGAGGAACAGGTAATTAGGAGCCTGAAGGATTGAAGGCATTATATGATGGTCACTTTCATATCAAGGGAAGAGCAAGGGTTCCATTATTATGGAGATAGAATTTAGCATATTCTCTCATCTCTGTTAAAATGAGCATTGCGTCCTTCATTTTGTATGTTTGTTTATGTTGGGGAAGGCCACTTGATTATTATCAATTAGTCAGCATCCAGAATATTTTAAATTACCATATTAGGCCTCTTGCTTCACTGCACTCCCCTATACATTCAGTGATTTTGCTTATAGCTCTGTCCTCAAGAACATGGTACTTTCTTCTGCTTCTTTTATTCTTCCTCCTTCATCTTACATAATCTGCCACATTACCAGGCCCATCTTCTTGATTACAACATAATATATGAGTAGTAAAACAAGGCAGTCAGATAAATAAATTGTTGATTAGTTCCATTTTGTCCAGGTGAACTGGTTTTCCTCAGTTTTTAAGGTCTAGTAGCAAGTCTCATTTGTTGGACTTAAATCTAATTCAAAACAACCAATATTAGAAAATGTCTGTGTACTATGGGTAGAAATCTCTACTAGGAATTATGGAAGTAAGCTAGAAAAGTTTAAATGCCATATGAGGAACAGAGCTGGGGACTGTAAAACAAGGAAAGGTCACATCTGTTTGAGAATCAGGGATGACTTCAGGGAGAAAATATAATTTACAAATGCATTTTGAAGGATAAAGAAGAGGTGGTAACTATTTTGCACAGGAAAAAAAGCCCCATATAATCTGAGCTGTGGAATTTACTCAGTAGTGAGGAATCATCTGGTTGAGTTAAAAACGGAGTAGATGAACAGGGAAGTGTGTAAGGCCAATGGAGTTTACAGTTGCATTGTAGAAAAATAGTGAAAGACAGGTTGAAGAATTAGTAGGTATTAATAGAGAAACCATGCAAGACTTTTATTGCAAGAATGACATAATTAGTTCAATTAAATTAATCTAGCAGTAATGTGGAAATGGGTTGGGATAGAGAGAATTTAGGAACTGGAAGAGTTTGGGAATTTCACTAATAGATGTCAAGAATACATGCTATGGCTCCAGTCTATTTCTTTCTATGTGTGATACAAGATAGACTTTGAGAACAGTGAATAATCAAACGTAATTCTCCCTACATTTTGCAGTATCTCTTGATCCTACTACCAACCCTCTCTTCATTTTTGGACCATTAGAAATTCATCCTCTTCTCCCTTTGCACTTAATTTTTGGTATGCATCTTTTCTTCTTCCTAGACAATGATCTTGAGGACAAGGCCCACATCTTCTCCAAAGTTGTGTTTGTTGTATTAACCAGCACAGTGTCTGGCATATAGTATACTCTAAATGATTCAAGGTACGAACCAAGTGAAGGGCAAAAGTTGAACCCAGCATTTGGCAGATTGACATTTTTCTCCACCTTTAACAATTAGCTAGCTCATTTTTGTCTTTGAGATCTTACATAGTAATTCCTTATCTGTTGGGGGGTTTAGATTCCTAAGTACCATTGATTGGTAAAAATCAGGTTTCATAAAAAGAGAAGATTGGGGTTAGTTAGAAGAAAACCATAAAAGCAATATCAAATGTCTTGTTTGCTTTTTTAAAAAATTTCTTAAAGCATTATATATTTTAACTGACAAAAATTACATATATTTATTAAGTATATCATGGTATTTTGAAATATGTATACATAATAGAATGGCTAAATAGAACTAGTTAACATAGCATTACTTTGCCAACTTACTTTTGTGGTGAGAACACTCAAATTCACTCTCATGATCCTCTGAACACAGTACATTATTAATAACTGTGGTCACCATAGATCTCTTAAACTTACTCCTCCTATCTAACTGAAATTTTGTATTCTTTAGTCACTGTTTCCTCAATCCCCATACCTCATCTGACCCTGGTAACCATCATTGTACTTTCTGCTTCTATGAAACATCTATATTTTAAAACACTACAAATAAAAGTGCTAGAAACCATCTGTTTCCAGAGCAAAGCGTATTTGTCATTGTCTAAAACATACTCCAATAAGTAACTCTACTAATCACTGTCAGTGATGCTACTGCTTCAGGAAGCACTACTACAGTGCATTCTATCCCTTTTAAATTTTTTGAACAGCCTTTTCTGACTTGAAACGTACTCTTTCATTTTCCTTTTGTTTCCACATTGGGGTTAATCTTAACTAGTATGCATCATGTTTTAGCCCAAGGTTAACTTAGGTGCATTAATTTTGAATTCTTTATCCTTTCATTGTCTTCCTGCATGAGGGAACAAGACACCTTGCTGGTTCAGTGAAGTGAGTGCAGGTCTTTATCAGGCCTGGCTCCTAGGGGAATGAACAGATCGTAGTAAGGAAACAACAGTATCCAGCTTAAAGTGCCCTGATGTGACATCTCCTGTTATGGCATGGAACAACATTATTTCTTTACACGCTGCTACTCCCAAACACGTATGATGCTGCTGTTATTGAAACAGTGTAGGAGGGCTCCATTTTCAGATTGTCTTTACTTCTTCCTCTGTTCTTTCAGCATCTAAGTCTCCCTTTACAATATATCATTTGTGCCTCCTAACAAAATAAAATATTCTTTAGTTAATTCCTGTGGATATATATATGTTAGACAAAGAATCAAAGAGACTGTTTTCTCCTCCTAGAGAATAAATAATGTCTTTTTCTCCTTTTTCATCTTGTGAGATTACCACATAGGTTCTTGGTAATTTGTGAGTTCAAGCCAGATCCTTTTTTCCCTTCCTGTACTATTGTAAGTTCTCCATTTTCAGGGATCAATCATAAGCTTTCTTTTAGTCTGATGTCCAAATCAGTAGCTAGTCAGGAGATTACAGTGAAGATTGGAATACCCCACAATCATTCAGTCAGGATTGAGGCAGGTAAATAGATAATGATTTCCTTGAACAGGTAAAGAAACTGCAGTCTATCTTAAAACCAATGATGCTTCGGCGCCTGAAAGATGATGTGGAAAAGAACCTTGCTCCAAAACAAGAGACCATCATTGAAGTAGAACTGACCAATATCCAGAAAAAGTACTACCGTGCTATCCTGGAGAAAAATTTTTCCTTCCTAACTAAGGGAGCAAATCAACACAACATGCCCAATCTCATCAACACCATGATGGAGCTGAGAAAGTGCTGTAACCATCCCTATTTGATCAATGGTGAGTTGGGGCAGAAAGGAGTAAGTAACTCAGGGCTGGCATGGACCTCTGTCAGAAGCAATGATAATCAAAGACTTCATATAGTAAGTTTTCGTTAAATGGTAGAATATACATATTCTCACCTTTTTACAGTTTAAAACTGAGGTTCAGAGAAGTTGATGGATTTGCATATATAATCAGGCTAATAAATACTGTACACAGAGCCATATTTGAAACTGCAAATTCTCTGTTTCTGCAGTTCATTCTCTGCCTGGCAAACTGTGGATAATACTCTGCATTTTGCTACTTTCTGTTTGTTTGTTTGTTACTATTTTTTACTCATGGTCTGGCCCACACTTTTCATTTATGGCTAGAGAAATATGTTACTTCATTGAATAAATGAAAATGCTTCAGTGAGATTAAAATCTGCAGATGAATTATGAGTTAACCATAGTAGAGATGATGTTAGAGTTTTCTTTACAGTGAAACTTCTGGAGAAATTTTTAAATTAAAACATGACTTGGATTGTCTTATAGCTAGTCTTGTGATGACAGAAAGTAGGAAGGTCTTTATTGTCAGCTTGCTAAGAAGATATCTTTACATGAGTGAATCATCTTAGGATTCACCATCTTAATCCTTAACAAAGTACCCTCGTTCTTAATGAGGTGAAGTAGAAAATCCTACTATAGTGAGCTCTCTGTTAAGGGTAGACCAGGAGTACACATTCATTATCTCTTCTGAACTGCAGGTCCAGGACCTAAGAATTCATGTTTTGCAGTATCTGAAAAACAGAGCTTTTATCCACATGTTTTGTTAAAGAAGAGTTTTGTTCCATTCCTTTTCAGGGGCAGAGGAAAAAATTCTGGAAGATTTCCGAAAGACCCACAGTCCTGATGCCCATGACTTTCAGCTGCAGGCCATGATTCAGGCAGCAGGGAAGCTGGTGCTGATTGATAAACTGCTTCCTAAACTGATTGCAGGTGGCCACAAAGTGCTCATCTTCTCCCAGATGGTGCGCTGCCTTGATATTCTCGAAGATTATCTCATCCAGAGAAGGTGAGACTTCCATCAAATCTCTGCATCCAGTGCCGTCAGTTCCTTTTCTTTGGTATCTTTTTGATCCATTCATGTTATGGTTTAACAATAACAAAACATTCAAAAATGGAGAAAACAGATCTCCTCTTAAATAAAATTCATACTGAATTTTATGACCAAGTATCCTAAAATTAACTCTTTGGAGTGAATTTCATAGCAATAGGGTGGAGTCCTTGTTTTGCATAAGTCCCAATATTTATTTATATTTACTTCAATTGTAAGGAACAAAATCAGAATAGCCTTAGAAAAGGTTAAGAAAAAATTTTTTTTGCTTAATAATAATGGGAGAAACACATTTTGGAAGGTATCACTGATCCAAATTTCTGAAAGCACATAAGCTGACAACTCAGAAAAAGAATTTTCTCTCCTTTCTCAGCAGACTCCCTGTTTTGTAATACACTAGCTGTGATATCCTAATTTATTTTCTTGTTTTATTCATATAATTCCCTGAACTTCAATTCTGTTACTCATACAAATGAAAAATACCTGAATGTAGGTTATTTGGACTCGTGTGTGGGAACTACTTTGTTATATTATACACCATATCTTAGGTTTTAAGTTATTGCAATACATCGATGATCTGATGATAAGAAAAAAGGATTTTTCAAGATCAGAGAAACTAGTAGCCTAGGCATTGCTAAGTTTAAGGAAAATCTTTGTTTTCAAATTGTAAAATTATAGAGAATCTCAGGTTTGTTAACAGATACTCTTATCCTTTAAGTTTCTCTTTCCCCTTATAAATTAACATTCACTTTGTGACAAACTTAACTGTATGTGTGCCAATACTTAATGTTACATAAAGAAATTTTTCAAGTCTGGTTAGACAATAGAAGAATTTGTATGGTAGAGATGTGCGTGTAGAGAATGATTGAGACCCGTGATTTTTCTTGGAAGCTATTATGAATAAATCAAAATGGGAAAAGCAGTTTTACACTATAAATTCACAATAGTACAGAAGCTTATTCCCAAAGCACTTGCTTCTTATATTGCAGCCTTCAAAATTTATAGAACTAATAATTTGTAGAAATTTTTAAAAAGAACACCCCCAAATGAGTAACCTTCCCCAAAATGAATAACAGATTTTTGGTAAGTACAGAAGTCTTTTTTGCTATTTTTCCCTTTATTGTTTATTACAATTTTATGTTCAGATTAAGTATTATAACTTCTCTTGAAAATATGGAAACATTTAACACCACCACCTGTAGAAGTTCTGTTCATGCTTGGGTGCTTATCTTTTTAGTCTTTTTTTCTTTGTACATATGTATGATTAGTTTTATTATTTGTTTGAATTGCTATATGTACAGTCTACTGTATAACTGACATGTTTTATTTAATATGCTATGGATTTTTTTTTTCTTTTTCTACAACAAAATCTTGATGACCTGCATGATATTCCTACAGATTGTTTTCAAATTTTCTGCATTTTAAGGTAGTCAAAATGGATATCCCTTTATGGCCATCATGAAGTTCCCACTTATTTCCTTTTAATGTGTGTTTTTAAATAAATTTGATATATATTTTCAAATATCCTTCAGTAAGAGTGTTTTACTTATATGCTTTCAATTCTCTGTAAGAATGCTTTTTTCCTGTATTCTGATCAATATTTTTTCTGCTCCCTAATCTTTGCTAATTCAGTAAGCCAAAGTTATGTTCTTTTTAATGTGTACTTTTGATTACTGAGGATGGATTTTTTTCATATTTATTAGCTATTTGTATTTTTATACAGAGATAAATTGCTTATTCATGTTATTCCTCCATTTACTGTTGTTCTTCAGTTTGTCATTAATTTATGAAAATTGCTTACTTATGAATATTTTGTGAACACTTTTCCCTCACTTGTCTTTGCTTTTTAATTTTGTTTATGCACGTGGATTTTTGTTGTTTTTATTTTGTTTTATTTTTCTTTTTATTGAGTTTATTGGTACAATCTAGGTATATAATACAGTTACATTCATTATTGGGATCCTGTACCTTTACATGACAGGTCTTGATTCTCATTTTTTCCCCTTGTCACTGCCCTCCCTTCACCCCCTCCTCCCCTCCCCATTTACAAACACTTTATTTCCATTTTTCCATTTTCTCATATTTTTTTTCCTCTCCCTTACTACCTTTCCCCCACCCTTCCCACTTTCCCTACACCTTTAGCCCTTTACTTCCTATTTCACATTATTAATTATCTCATTAGGATCTTATGTACTATTATAGTTTTTCACACCAGAGAAACTATTCGGTATTTCAGTTAAAGAAATCTCTGTATGAACATTAAAAATAGGGAATCCTAAAATAAAACTAAAAAGGAAAGTAAAAGAGAAAAGGCAGTGATGTAAAATTAAAATAATCCTTAATTTTGAAGTTGAAAATGATCCCTGAACATATTTAAATTGCTTCTTGCTCTTGTAGTCTTATATTATTCTTTTCTTTTTCATTATTTAAAGAATACTTCGTTAGTTTCTGTAATCAAACCCACGTAGATATGACCTTACATATTTAATACAGTGCATTACCCCTATACAAATGGAAAAAAAATTAACATTTTTTGTTCTATTTTTACAAGTTCTAAATTTCATAGAAGTCTTATGTTAGTCCTAAAATCTTTGTTTAAATTTTTTCTGCTTGATTCTAAGCCCAAATACTTACATTAATAAACTTTAAAAGTTTCTTTCACTTTGCAGCCATGAGTTTGTATAAGTATTTTGTTCTTTTTACTCTTATGGTTTCTTCACCCCAGCTATATCCAGCAGGATTCTTGTATATTTTTATGACACTGTCTCTGTCTCTCTTTCTCTCTTTTTCTCTCTTGATGGGTGTGCAGGAGATTGAACCCAGGGCCTTTGCACTGAGCTGCATCCCCACCCCTTTTCACTTTTTTGAGACAGAGTCTCACTAAGTTGTTACGTTGCCCAAGCTGGGCTTGAATTTACAGCCCTCCTGCCTCAGCCTTCCAGACTGCTGGGATTATAGGCATTCATTATCATATCCCACAGTTAATTTCCTGTTTTCAATTAACTTTATTTTCATCAAAGTTATACATGCACATAATTTAGAAAGTCAAATCATTCTGTAGACTTCTGAAAAAACTCCATTTTCCAATTCATCACCTCCTTCCTCCAGTTTCTAAACCCCAGAAATAATTACTTTGAACTCTTTATGCTATTTCTTTGATATTTAGAGGTCTATCTAAATAATATTATTTGGAATTTCTTGATCTTTTTTAGTCGTAGGAATTAACTGTATGACTCTGGAAGATTCATTTTATCTTCTTTCATTGTTCCCCGTAATCATTGTATATGCAACTTCCCGTCCTCCTATCTTCCCAGTACACTATGTAATGTTTGAAGTTAGATTAATATTCTGGATTTACCATATGATTTATGTTAAATTACACCTTAACCATGTAGTATGCTGTCTACTTTTTCTTTTTTATACAATTTTTATTTTCTCTGAAGCTAAACACTGTCTATTATTTGATTGCTTATTCTTCTATATACTTAGCATAATTCAAATGCAAACTGTGTCCTTCTTGTATAAATCTCCTTTTGCTGTGTCCCAGCACATCAGTCTCAGGGCCACATCTGGAACCTCTGTACCTGTCCTCTGTGGCCTGTTTTTTTCACCTAGCACATGCAGGTCATTAATCTGCCATCTTGCATCAATTCCTTTTGATTCAGATCTCCTTTGGTGGATCCATGTTGGGGCATCTCTTCTAGGAGAATCTGAGCAAGGTAAATGAAAGGTCTGAATGTTTTTTTGTCTATCACTATTCTTGGTTGTTAAGAGTTTGGTTGGAACTGAGATTCTCGGTTAGAAATTCTTTCTCTACAGAATTTTGAAGGTGTTTACTGTCTTCTGTCAAAATTGCTGTAGACAAGTTCAAAAGCCTTCAAATTCCTATTCTGTGTATGTGATGTATGTTTTTTCTTTTTAGAATCTTTGATACATTCTCTTTGTCCTCAGTCCTATGAAATTTTACAATGGCCTGCCTCACTGTACTGATTTTAAATAGATCTTTTCCACTTGAAATCGAAGTCCCTTTATTCAGTTCTGGAGAATTTCCTCAAATTTATCTTTTTTCTATTGTTTTCTTTGTTAAACTCCCATTAGTGATACGTCAGACCTTTTGGACTGACCATTTAATTTTCCCCTTTTTCTATTTTCTGTCTCATTATCTCTCTCCTTACCTTCTGGTGGAATTTGTTCACTTTATCTTCCAATTTAAATCCTTAGGTTTTGTTTCCATAGTTGTAGTTTTTAATCTCAGATCATTTTCTTATGGTTTTTCATTTTTTTATAGCACCAATTATTTCACAATGGTTTTCTTTTTAGACAACCCAATGGGTGTCAGAATTTTTTTATCTGTTTAGTTCAAGTCTTATTTTTCTCCTTGATTATATCTCTGTCTTTTATATCAGAATTCCAAGTGTACATTTTCCCCCCACCATTTAAAAGTGTTTTCCACTGGGTTTTGGCCCCCATAGTTCCTGACAAAAAGTTCTATAGTCATTCAAATCATTTCCCTTTATGTAATGTATTGATTTACTCTGCTTCCAGCATTTTCTTCTCATTTTTAGTTTTCAGCAGTTTATGATTTTAGAGTTCATCCTGAATTCTTAACTCCAACTTCACTGAGCTTCTTAATTGTGATCAAATGAATGTCTTTTTTTAGGGTGCTTTTGGTCACTTGTCTTTCAATTTCATTTTGCCTCATTATCTTATTTCTCTGTGAGACTCCAGTCACCTGTGTGTTTAATTTGACCTTTAGATACGGTCCCACAAATCCATAAGATTCTGGGTTTTTTTTTTTTAATCTGTCTTTTGTTGCAGTTTATCTGCCTTCAAGTTTATTGAGTTCTCTGTAATCTCCATGATGCTTATTAAGCCAACCAGTGCTTTATCTTAAGAAATTGTATTTTTAGCCAGGCGTGGTGGCGCACACCTGTAATCCCAGCACTTGGGAGGCTGAG